AAACGATAGCTTTGTGTGCTTTACAGATGAACTTGAAGTCTTTATTCATTCGAAATGTTCAAGAATAGATTATCTTTGGCTCGGTAATACGAGTTATGATCCGATTCGTGAACAGATGATTCTTTTGATTCAATCTTTTAAATGAATCATTTATTTTGTTTAACGAAACCAGTGTGAATGGTTCTCATTTAAACTGGATAGATCTGGGGTGTGTTTCCTAAAAGCATCGTTAGCGAACTGTGTTTGGTAAATTACACTGAACTATAACGACATTAAAGTTACTTGCGACCGTAGTTGTTTTGGGAAACGAGCCCTGTGAATTTTGACTCAGCAATTCTTTTGTGCCGATCGCTTCTCCATAGAGAGGATTATCAGTGAAGTAATCACTTAAAGGGGTCATATGATGTTGCTAAAAAGTACATTATTTTGTGTATTTGGTGTAATGAAATGTGTTTATGCGGTTTAAATAGGGGTGTAACGGTACACGTATTCGTCCCGAACCGTTTCGGTACGGGTCTTTCGGTTCGGTACGCATGTGAACCGAACGAATACAGTTTTTTTTTTTTTCTCCGGAAATTCAAATAATAAATGGCGTTTTGACAGTCTTTGATGTGGCATGACAGATCGCTGTATAAACGCCGCCTTTCTTTGCGTGAACATTTGGGCGGCGTTATGCAAATCTTACCACATAGTGAGGTAGATATGTGGGGGCGTGTTAGAATGAGCCGTTTTAGGTAGGCGTGGTTGACTTAACTTTTATAAAGAATATCTCTTTGGATTTGAGACTTTAGTCTTTGCAACTTTACAGATCTTCTTTATGCACCAAGAGCTTGTAACACTTGACCCCTTTAAAGTTTGGTCCATTCATTAAACAAATCTATTGTATAACTTGGAGAACTGCCAGTTGTTTTGGCTACTTTTATGATATGTTTAGTGTGTTTGGATTCGTTTTGAAGCTTTCGAATGCAGCATGAAACAGCACGGAATCCCATTCATTGTATTTAAATTGAATTTATATTGATTGGTAGATTTAAATGACACAACATTTTTTGTTGTTCATAGAAATGCTGTGGAAAACTGATGTTGTTAAAAATAAAATGCAAGAAAAACGCAAATCTTATGACTGGTAGATGTCACTTTTATTTAGAGAAAACATAAAAACAAGACATTAATATGTTCCTTTGTGTATAGCTTAAGTATTTCAAAGTATTCTAAAGTATTTAGATTAAGTTACTAAACCTGAGTAATCTAACAAAATACATTACTGATTACTTTTTAAAGCTTGTATTTTGTAATCTGTAGTGAAATACATTTTAAAAGTAACCTTCCCAGCCCTGGCAACAGCAACTGTGGTCACTGAGTCAATCACCACACATGCTGTTTAGACATTTCCATGGTAGACAGGAAGTCAAGATGCTCTGAGCAGATCTGTTTAACAATCACAATTCAGTGGTTGTGGTTTTTTTTTTTTTTTGCTCAAGTATGTTGGGCTGATCTCACAATGAAGGCACAGAGGAAATTGCTTTCTTTGCAAAAACCCAGCGCATGACTGAAACCACTAAAATACATTGGGTTTATAAAGCCAGTCTACTGTCACTTTTTTATTATTATGGTAGCTCTGTATAGAAGAAAGCCATGTTATGGTTTATGATAAATGTGTTTAGTCATTAAATGTGTTTTGTGATGGATTTGAGAATCAGTGTGACTTTCTTAATGTCAATGCATGGTACTGCACCTAAACAAAATCTTACTAAAAGCTTTTTTTTTTAGATATCAACCTCACATTTGGAACACACCTCATTTAGATTTTTTTAAGTGTAAAATGTGTTTTAGAAAATATATTTCATATGAAATTTGAAAATAGTATTTTTGTGCATTTTTCATATCAATAAACTTAAACTCCATTTTTTTATTTCACTTTTTTAACCTTTTACACTTAAGCAATAATCTGCCAAGAGTCTTCTAAAAAAGACCAAACTTAAGCCTGTGTTCCAAAGCATTCAAGATTTAGTACAGTTGTATTTGAAAAATTTCTATGCTCAAAAATTGACAATAGACAATAAATTGAGTATAATAAATTTAGAACCATAAAATCCACTAGAAAATACAAAATATTAAATAAAAAACATTGTCAAACAAATACATACATAGTACATTAATTTCACTGAATTATTATTATTATTATTATTATTATTATTTCAGTCATTTTGACTGCCATATGAGGAGCACCAGAAGATTGGTACTTACATGGGCATTTACTTTAAGACTATTAATTAAAATTTTAAGGCTATTAATTCTTTAGAGACTGCCATTCTTTGCATTACCTACTTTTGCCTTTTTCTCCCTAGGCTGCAAGTTTAGAATTTTTCTTAGTTTTTTTTTTTTTAATTATTATTCTGTTCACCAATATAGCATTTAATTGATTACATATAGAGTTAAAACAGTAATAGTGTACATAGCTTTATTGAACAGCACACAAATGTCAAACACACTATTAGAGACTAACGATAGTTATAAGAAATGCCTAGAAAGCTATTTCTAATGAAGGGGTGTAATACCAGGTAGGTAGTGAAAGTAGGAGTGTTCTATTTTTATTTTTTTTCCTAAAGATTACAAATGAATTTCCAAACATGTTTTGTTGGAAAAAAAAAAAAGTCAATTTTTTACTGTTATTTGTTAAGGTCTATCACCCACTACTACCCAAATAATGTTCCAATATCTATACGCCTTCATATGGTGAAAAAGGAAACTTTTCATGCCTTTCACACAGCACTGTATCTGCGGGTTATTTAGTTATAGCCACAAACACGTTTTCTGCATATGCATTTTCTACTTCCGCTTATATATTTTAGTTAAAATACTTGTATAATACTTATATATTTTGTTAAAGAAAGAGTTCCTTATGCAGAGACACTATATGAGAACCTTAGTCTTATTTTCACAAAAAAAGTTCTATTTAAAGGTGGGGTAAACGATTTCTGGTAGCCAATGTTGACATTTGAAATCACCAAAACAAACACGTCCCTACCCAAAAAGGGTCTCGCCCCTATTTTGATAGTTCCGCCCCACACATACGTATGCAACCCAGGCAACGATTAGCAGTGTTGCCAACTTAGCGAATTTTGTCACTAGATTTAGCACAACCAAATCTAGCGACTTCTTGGACAAGCGCGCACACACCTCTCTCTCTGCGTCTGCTCTGTACAGCGAACGGCTGAGAGGAGCAGCGCCTTCAGTTAAAATAGATATTATGTTGCTTCTCTAATTTTACATGCAAATATAGCCGAAATCACAGCACAGGAATTGTCTGTGTCTTGTCTTTTCTTATGTGCGTTTCATTTCATCAGACGATGGCTCAAATATAAAGCAGGATTTTTGTGCAGATTAACGTCTTGGAAGGGAGAGCTGGTTATGTAGTCTTATAGGGCCGTATTTCAGTCACTATTTCATATTTATTCTGTTGACTGACAACAGAAACAGTAATATATATAAATGAAAAATTTGGCTGCATTAAAATACAGTATGTGAGCACAGAGAGACAAACAAATGTAAAAGGCAACAGACGCGATGACGTCATGAATATGCTAATTAGCGTATGACGTCATCTGGCGACATTTAGTG